AGTCATGGCAGTATGGCAGTGAAGCATTGGTGTTGAGCACTGATGTCATGCTGTCGTTGATGATGAAGACACGTTTGGTTTAACACTGTTGTTCCTTTCTGTCGGATGCTTCAGTATGACAACTGTCCAGTCCTGAGCTGTGTTCTTTCTGTGAAGAAATTTCGTAGGAAAGTTTTGTGGGGTAGCTCGATGTATTGCCTATTTTCGAATAGCAGACCTCAGCGGCTTGAGACAGGATGATTAGGATAGAGCTTCATAGTGTGCTGTAAATCATATCAGTTTCCGCAAGGGGTGTCTCCAAGCGGTATTGTTCTCAGCAGAGATGCCCTGAATTTGGTTGGTCGCTGTTCGGATCAGTCAGAATGTCCTGGTGCAATATTGGAGGATGGCGGTTTGGTGTCAGTCAGAATGTCCTGGTGCAATATTGGATGCTGGTTTGGTGTGTGTCCGACGTGCGCTGGTGGGCAAGTGTTAACAGACATGCCTTACATGTTATATATCCAGAGTTGAAACCGCGGTGTTTCCCAATCTCATGGCTAGATGAAACGATATTGTCCACAGAGGGCTTGAGCATACCTCACTTCACTACCCACGGGTTTCTCTGCTCTTTTTTGCGATAATTAGCAATACATGACTCACTGTCGTTCAGCTGCGGCACCCTTTCGGTGCCTAACGCCATGCCACCAGGACGGTCGCACGACGGCTGAGATACTGCCAGGTTGCCCAGGGGAAGTCGATAGGCAGAGGTCGGGTTCGAACCACGGACCTTCCGGTCAATAAATTCGCGCTCTACCCACTCGGACCATCTCGCCCCCACTCACTGTCACTTCAAAACGTTTTAGCGACACAGCGTGACGCATTCACACAATTTATAGGGAAACAACCTCTACCATGTGTTGGAGAGACCTCTTGTCGCATATGCCACCAGCGGTTTATCGTGCTCCAGCTCCCTCTGTGTGTGTGTGCGTGCGTGCCTGTGGACATACCCATGCATCGGTGCTCCGATGTACACCTTCGTTTGAGCTGAGGTGAGTAGTACACACCCGGACGGACAACTAATGGCTAGAGAGCGTGAAAAACATAGTCTTGCTGGAAGACGGACAATCCACCGCTGATATGCGGACAGACATTAAGCTCACATATGGTCTGTTGGTATCGATTACCTCCTCCCCCCTGGTTTGGTGTGTGTCCGACGTGCGCTGGTGGGCAAGTGTTAACAGACATGCCTTACATGTTATATATCCAGAGTTGAAACCGCGGTGTTTCCCAATCTCATGGCTAGATGAAACGATATTGTCCACAGAGGGCTTGAGCATACCTCACTTCACTACCCACGGGTTTCTCTGCTCTTTTTTGCGATAATTAGCAATACATGACTCACTGTCGTTCAGCTGCGGCACCCTTTCGGTGCCTAACTGCCATGCCACAGGACGGTCGCACGACGGCTGAGATACTGCCAGGTTGCCCAGGGGAAGTCGATAGGCAGAGGTCGGGGTCGAACCACGGACCTTCCGGTCAATAAATTCGCGCTCTACCCACTCGGACCATCTCGCCCCCACTCACTGTCACTTCAAAACGTTTTAGCGACACAGCGTGACTCATTCACACAATTTATAGGGAAACAACCTCTACCATGTGTTGGAGAGACCTCTTGTCGCATATGCCACCAGCGGTTTATCGTGCTCCAGCTCCCTCTGTGTGTGTGTGCGTGCGTGCCTGTGGACATACCCATGCATCGGTGCTCCGATGTACACCTTCGTTTGAGCTGAGGTGAGTAGTACACACCCGGACGGACAACTAATGGCTAGAGAGCGTGAAAAACATAGTCTTGCTGGAAGACGGACAATCCACCGCTGATATGCGGACAGACATTAAGCTCACATATGGTCTGTTGGTATCGATTACCTCCTCCCCCCTGTTCATACACCTGGATCCTTCATTTGTCTGGTAAAAGCTACACTGAAGCTTTTCCGGCCACTTTGTCCTGTCCACATTGCGTTCGTAATGGCCAGTGAAAAAAGTAAACTGTTGTCATTTCGATCGCGATTACGCTTTGTTCAACAGTACGGTAGCCAATGCGAATTCGACGCATTATGAAGCAAGCTGAGGTTGAATTTGCGAATTTGTTTTCATCCACAATTTTAGTATTCCTGAATTCCAAAGACTCACTGGACACACTTGCCCATCAACGAATGCCCCGGAAGTTTGTGAATATGATACATTCTTTGTATTCTCAGATTTTCGAACGTGTAAGAGTATACGGAGAGCTCTCCAGAAGCTTCTGTTCACAAAGCGGTGTCCGCCAAGGATGTCCACTCCATCCATTCCTACTTACTTTCGAAACCTCGGTGTTTAAATAGCTTCTGACGAAAACCTTGTCAATCTGGAATATGCGGTAGGCATATTTCTCGTCATCGAAGAAGAGAAGGCGCAGGTGTTTTTGGATGATCTGACAGAAGTCATCCCGCAAAGTGTAAGGTCATGCTCATGGACATGCAGTCACTGAACACGTCATTTGCAATCCAGGAAGAGGTACTCGAAGTTGTGGAGCCTTTTACGTACCTTGGAATTTGTATTAGTTCTGATTGTAGTGTGACAGATGAGGTGAATGCACGAATCTGCAAGGCTCGACTCGCGTTTGCTAATTTTGGACACCTAATGCTTCAAAGTGGTATATCCCTGAATCTCAAGGAACGTGTGTATCAGGTCACAGTACGGGCTGTTTTGTTGTATGGCTGTGAGGCTTGGCCTTTTCAGGCAGCGGAACTGAGACGTCTTCAGGTTGTCTCATGACCATAACTCATCCGGATTGGTGTCCGGGATTCCTTAATGAGGCAATTTAGAAAGCTAGTTTTCGGTTGCGCAACGGTAACTTCCAGCACCATAGGCTGAGTGTTGCGTATGTCGAAGAGATTGCTCTTTTCCATGCACAATCCGGAGTGGCGAAAGCAAAGAGGTGGCCAACCCTTGAGCTGGCAGAGAGGTATGAGATCGATTACGAAACGTCCGGTTTCTTGCAGGATAGGGACCGCGTGATCCTCAGTGGGCTTGTTTGGACTCGCTGCAGGATATGGCTACCAACCGATGCCAGTGACGTTCTTGTTGTCAGTTTCTATACAGATTGCCTGGCTGAGTAGCTGTAGGTGTAGGCGCCTCGGAATGATTGTAGTAAGCTTGTAGTAAGATTGTAGTAAGCATCAAGTCCCTTCCCCGTCCACCTTTATTCTTTTCTTCACACTGAGCCTTTCAAATAAATCATGGTTTTACGGCAGCAAAGCATGCGTGTTGAATACTGAGGTCATGCTTTCCGTGATGATGACCCATTGTTTACCACCAATTGTAAACATCCAGTTGAATCTTAAGCCCATGATTTGTTCGATATCAAATCCTCCGCAAACATTCGGATGAGGCAGTCTTGTCGTTCCTCACGAGTCAGATCGTCCTAATAACTCAAAAGCTAGCCTGCTCAATTTTCTCATCTTAGTTCCACCGCATTCGGGGTTCGATCTGGTATTGTGTGTGCTCATTTCGCTCTTGGGAGTTCAAGTTGCCACCTTGTATGCAAAGTTTGCTTTTCTTGATCCATTCTTCATCAGTGACAAAATTGCACTGGCTAGATCCAGTCTATTGACGGTGCTTGGTTTACAGCCACTGGTACCGCTATTTGTGATGCTGTTTAACTTAGTTTAACTTGGGGTAAATCACCACAGCTTGACTGTACTCTTGATTTGTATGATAGAGCGATCGTGAATTTATGCATTGTGCGCCAACACGGGGGAGTAAACACCGATGGGAACAAAACGAAGATGAGGTTCATGAGACAGGGGGAAATTTGGCTCTGCTACTTGAGCGTCCTCAAACATATATTGTTTGCCTAGACGGGATTAATGTTGTTTCGAGATGGCTTGGTAAACCACGTGAGTCGGTTAACAAGTTGACTGGGTTTTAAGGAAAGTGAAGATCCCATCAGCACAACCTCTTCCGATCACATCCTGGCGAACAGAATCAAGGACTGTATCTACAAAATTAAATGCAACAACTGCACCAAGGTCTATGTAGGACAGAAGATACCAGAATCGAAGAGAAAAACAGACAAGCTGCCAAGAAATGCAGACGAATATCGAGCGAAACTGAAAGACTGCGCAATGGCACAACATGCACTGGATACGGTTTATAAAATGTTGAAGTTTTGAGGTGACGACCACAGTTCTGGCCACAGAGACTAATGGTCGATGTGGTGGAAATCGCCGAGCATCCCTGTGTAAATAGAACAGAAAGTGTATAACTGGCAAGTGTATGGAGAACGGTTGAATATCAGTCGAGCTGACATAGCAAAGAGGAGTAGCTTAGACCTGAAGTGTACGAACCACCCCGACCAAAACTTCCATCTAATCTCACGCACCCTAACTAAATTGTGGTAGCACTCACAGACCCATAAAAACCAACGAAATCTACCAGTGGTGCCCAAGTTGAGTCGTCAATTGAAGCGTCATGAACCGGATGATCGAAGACCTAAACTCAATCAAAAATAATTTGAAATCCCGTCAGACCATAAACGCAAGATTTTGGCAACCACACTAAGCGACCAGAGTTGTTAATTGACACTCAACACTGATCTTTTGCGCCAATATGAAGACGTCGTACTGATTAGTTCTCCGTTTGTCTTAAAACCTGGCGAACTTGGTGTAGTAACGGTATTTTTCTCAGCTTAGTTCTCGGTCTGAGCCTCACAAACTAGCGTTCACGTCAAAACAACCACCAAAGGTGCACACAATATATTGACGACCAAAGCTAAATCAGGGACACTTGTACAGCGCTTCATATATATAGCGTAGGCGTCAATAAGTCTCTGGAAATTCTGACGCGTTCTGGATGTACTATTGGCAACCGGCATTCGGCCAAACTGGGTTATGATTGGCTGTTGAGTCCAGACCTTCTACCAATCAGATCTCGGCTTGATTTCAAACCGGCTAGCGTCGCGAATTTTTGGCCAGTCTTGCGTGGGGTGGACTTCTCGGCCGTAGCAGAACCTGACTGCGAGCGGTAAAGAGGGATCCATGTGGAATTCCGCCTAAAACTTGGTGACCCGCTCACATGGCCTGATAAAGCTTTTGTGTAAAAATTGAAACGTTGCCTAGTTAAAAAAGACTACCAATTGTCTCCCAAGCTCTTGTGAAACAATAACTTTTCAATCAGTTCCAAACCTCTTCCAATGGATTGCGATTAATATCAGTTAATCAATTTGAAAAAATCGTCTATCTGACAGACTGTCCTACGCTCTGAAATGCAACCGGAAAACATGGTTTCACCTCACTCACCGGATTTTGCCCCCCAATCCAACAGTGCTCAATGAGGTCATGTGCCCTTTAATGTAACCCCTGTCTTTTCACAAAAATACAGTCGGTTGATTGTCTTTCTAGGTGACTTGTCGGGTGGATTTTAGGACAACCTTCCAATTCTTGTCAGAGTGGCACAAGGCTTTTTTCACTTTATAGAAAAGGAGGGATGAGATTCTTTTGCCGTGTCAACGAAATCCCACCTTGCTTAATTCCGGAAAAATCTTTAAATATACTTACGAATAGGAATGAACTTTACGCTTGCCAAATCCCCATTTCCAGGCAGCGGACATTTAGGAGAGTGAGCTAGTTCGATTGGGAATTCGTCGCACAGATTTGAGTTGCGTTTTACGCTGCTCTCATCGAATCTGCAAGAGAGGCCGTCATTCAATGACTTCACATTGGTGATTGGTCTGTTTGTTTATGTTTGTTTTGGAAATTGGCTTCCTTTTTGCGAGGCAGGTAAAGTAAGACTTGGCGGAAGGGTGCGAAAAAGCTTACGGATGACCTGGTCCGCATTCTAGGTTGGGGATCCCGTGACCTCCCCTGTGCTCGGCTGGAGACTTCGCGAGAAATAGTGGCCAGTCAGTGGCGCCGGTGCACTCAGTTTGCTTCTAGATTTTCCTACTGAGTACTTAGCGATGTAGGTACCTCAGGATGTTTGTGATAGGCAGGTCCCATCCCTCATCCATTCTTTTTTCTTTTCATCCTTAGGCTTAGATGTAACTAGACAAACTTTGTGGTTGTACGGTACTAAGGCATCTGTGTCGACAATAATGCTGTTGTCCTTGATAACGATGATTCTATGTTCCTTTTTCGCACGTTATTTTTTTAATTCTGTTATGATATGCACGTCTCTCTTTTGCGTGCTCACATACCGCGACAACCACCGCTATGAACTGACTCCATACGGCCCGCTGATTATTGCCGAAGCCAATCTTAGTAGGTCCTTGTTATTTTGTGTGCTGATGTAAGCACGAAAGACCTTCGCTCTTATTAGGGAACTCAAACTAAACGGTTACAAACTATTGGACAGCAAAGTAAACATCTCATACACACCTTATTTTTTTTAAAAAAAACTGATCATTCTCACCCGCCTTCTTTGACTTTCGTGGATATTCACTGACTATCACACAAATGTAAACGAACGCTGCAAAACATTTCCGCAGTTTCTGTAATGAACCCCATGAGGATGCACCTTCCATTAGACGCGAGGCGGAGTTACGAGAAAACCACATACTACTCGCATACTTCATCAATGGTATCTGCCGTGCTAGTGCTAGCATTGTCACAAAAAACATTGGAACATTCGAACAACAGCTTACAGACTTGGGTTGAAGACGATTGGTCTGATTCTGAGTGCCGCCTCAATCCCACCGAAGCATTCGCACCTTTTTATTGGGCTTCAGCTGGTCGATTGCAAATGCCTAGTCAGAAAAATGCAATAAAAATCTTATAAAAATTACTGTTGATCACCTTTATCGTAATGTGAGGTAACAGGGGCCTCCTATTTCATCTCAGCTGGGACGTGTTCAGGATGCTTTGGCAGTCCTACTTTCAAAGTTGGCTGATTCCGTCTCGGAGGAGGTACGGCATCTGAAATCGGTCCATAGCCGCCAACCGTGGCTGCTGCGTCTGGACTCTCCGACTAACTGGACAGATAACGTAACACTTGGTGTGACGAACTTGGAGCAGATCCACCAGGTCTTGCTGAAACATGTTCATGTTGCTACTCTGGCGATCAACGCATTTCACTCGGTAAGGCTGTTCGCCGCCTGTTTTAATTTTGCATCGTAGCTAAGCTACTTGGGTTGGTTATAAGTAGTTGCACGAAAATATGCCACGCAGCGGCCCACAGACAAGCCCCATCCATTCTGAACGCCGCTGACAAGACTGTGAATTTCAATCCATGAAATGAATAGAGTGTTTACTATCTTTTATGGAAGTTAACAAAGGAACTTATTTGGCACTCGTCACATATGTTTTCATATTCGACTGTCCAAACCCTCGTACTTCTGGCCAAGGCGGTAGTTGGACTAATCAACTGGGAAATGTTTGGGACCGATTAGGTAGTCATTGTTTCAGAGAGGTTTGGTAATCAAGAGGTCCACCGATTGTCGACCAAACTTCTCTGAGTAGCTGGACTGTATCTTTAAGTCACGTTTCATGATCTCGCTAGATTTGCCTAAAATATTCGATATTCCCCTCTGTATGCCCCAGATGATGTATTTGTTAAGCTCAACATTCAAGGCTTTGGTTGTCTGTTTCTAGCTTGAGATTGGACTGATTTCCAGGACGCTCCGGTCCAAACACTGCAATCAATAATGAGTTTGTGGCGAATTTCGGCCCAAACATCGGTCATTTTGATTGGATCCATGGGTAACCTGGAGATCCAGACCTTCAACATCGATCCCATCGCCGTGAATCCAAGTTTTTAATTAATCTTCCTGGCGACACCGCCAACCTTGTGAATCATGTGTTAACATCGAACATTAAAATTTTCTTGTCTGTCGCGTCCAGCCCCTTACTTCAGTCCACAAACTTTAATAGTTAGTGGAGAGCTATGCATCGCAACACGCTAAACTGGCTTTCGTTTGCAAATAAATAATTCGACCCATCCCAAATGGTTGGTAATGATCTGTTTTTTAATTACTTCTGGACGGCCCATATATTCAGTCGGTAGTTGTAACACCAGTCTCTTACGGGATTACCGGTTCGCTAGACTTGAACTCTGGGGTGGAACGCATACAGTATGCAACTGTTGCTAGGCGTGTTTCAGCAATAAGCAGTGCTTAATTTCGGTTTTGCCTATACCACCCCTGTCACAAATTAAAGAAGCTATACCCTGGTGCGCTGTTTTGGCTGGTTTATTGAACTAGGCTGATTCCATTATTACGGGAGTGCGATCTTCGTGGAGCGGCTGTTTTTGTGTCCACTTGTCAGTAGCTCCCTGAAAAATTTTATCTGACCGTCAACAGATAATGGCGCAGCAAGCTAAGGGCAGTCCGCCTTCTGGATTCAGCTACAAGCCTACTTTGGTTGCTAGCTATGATCGCCTGCAGACGAATCTATTCGAGGCCCAACGTTTGTTGAATCAAGCGAAGAGCACATTGCTTGGTAGCCTCGCCAATCGTATGAACTCGATTTTGAGCCATCTGAATGCCACACTGAAACAACACCCATCGGTGACGAACATCTCGCTGTCCGAATGGGTCAAGAGCAAGCATCACGCAGAGTTGGCCTATATCGATCTGTTGGTGGCCCAACTGCTCAGTCCTTATGTGGCGTCGGTTGATTTGCCGGTCACTGAAGATCAAGCGAAGTTTATATGGCAGGTAAGTAACTGTTTATGGTTGTTACGGGAGAATTGGAGCCTCTTCTTCGTTTTCATGTTTTTCTTTTTGCATGGCTATCTTATGAAGGTTGCAATCAACACAAATTCTGTGAGTTGAACAATTCCCATATACGTTATTAGTAATGTTAGTAACAGGTGTCATATCGTTTTTACATGCATGTAGCTCGAATGGCAGTCGACACAAATTTTGTGAGTTGAACAATTCTCATATACGTTAGTAGTGTTGTTAGTTACAGGTGTCATATCGTTTTTACGTGCATGTAGCTCGAGTAGGAAGGTATATCTTACCAAATTGATTTAGGCGTATTGATTCTGCTTGCGTCCATATTTCAACTCCATGAAAATAAATGGAAAAACACGTTGCGCGTGTAAGGTCGTTGCTCGTTTCTCTTCTCTGCGCCAAACCACAGAGCCATCTTTCTAATGACATATCATCCTTGATGTACAACGCTTCTGCACGCAACGGGATGCGGAACGTAGGATTTTCGAGCAGAGAGATTATGATCGGGTTTGGTCACGGATGCTTACAGATCCTCACTCACGCAGGTTGAGTGCAGCGGATAAGTTCGTCGGATGAGAGAAATACCAATGTAATGTCGTTTAGACTCGTCACACAGTCACCGCTTTACATTGCGAGCGTCGTTCACGGGCAGTGGGTTGGATTGGAGACAACCTCCATGGTATCGATGATTATAATGGCGGAAACACGCAAAAGCGTTGGCCGCCAAATTAGTCACTGAGTAGCGATTTCTTAGACGCTTACCTGAATGGAGACGACGGCACCTGGCTAACGTCTCCTGAGTGACACAGACTGATCCTCGGATGAGCGGCTGCGATTCAGATCGGTAGCCTTCATGAATCTCCCCATTTCGTCTTCCACTTTTGCCTGGAAATGGGTCGCAAAATACAGTATCCCTAGGATTCACGACCTCCTCATAGTCAGCGCATTTGATCAAACCCGGTTTTCAAAGTTGACAGCGCCAAACGTGTGTGAGCACTACGAATAAACATTATCTCGTCAGGTGCGTACATGGACGAGTTGCGCCTTATCCCTAGATGTTATGCACATATCAAATGGATGACAGTTCGGTACAGTCTCTAAGTACGGCAAAACTTTTTCGACTGAATACCCAGCTTTTCAGATCTGCTTTCTGTAGCCCGAAATTGGCCCTTCACGAAAGAGTCTCGTCAATGCCGACTTATACATCAGTTGTACTCTCCCGCCTCAAGAATTCCCTCAGGGGGAACCATTTCCTTCACCAATATTTTCATGTGATCTTGCGGAGATATATAGAATCAACATCTATTCATCCGGTTGAACAGATTTGTCTGGAATATCCGCAGCCATTGTGTCAAACTGAAACCACTGACTAGTTGCAGCAAGACAGTAGGAGCTGTGTAACATAGTTTCACGTGTTTCAGAGACCCCGAACACGAACTAACTTTTACGCGGAATCCTACACCCAAACCTCCCCACCACTCACAACTGGGCATGCTACGGCCAATAAGCCTGACTCTCACGTGATTGGTCGGAAGATCGGGCCGCTTGCTTTTCTATCACCAAGGTCGCCAATGTGGACCAATCACATTTCAGTATCCGCTGGATGCCAGTTCACAATATAACCTCCAGGAAGCATCTAAGTTACCAAAATTTCGTCGTTGCATGCAGTCTAGACGCGGCACGCTGTACAATAGTTTTTGGCCTGTTTTTAGGTGTCTACTACAATATATACTCTTGGGGTTCTTTTGAAAACGATAGTTTGGGAGGATCAGGTGGAGCACTAAGCTGAGGCATTACCGTTACTGCGCGAACTGATCCTGAATAACAGATGGCGAACGCAAGCTTATCGACTAATAATCAGAGATTCAAGTGGATGCTCAATACTATGGATAGTGTTTTGTTAACTGAAACCACTTGCGTTGTGCCAGACTTCTTAAGCCCATACAGAAGCTGGATGTTGACTGCAGACATCTGAGTTACACGAATTTTTGCCCGGAGGCTTCGTCAGTGTTTCGAGTGAAAGGACCAAACGGTCATAATCGTGCACTAGCGCACGAGAACTCCGCACGAAACCATTGACTTTATAAACTTGAACGTTTAAGCATCGTAATGACGTGGTATGGCAAAGCCAAGCCTAGTAAACTACCGCACTTCCCGTGGGACTTAACGAGATTAGACTCAGTCGTTAGTGGCGTAAAGACTAGGCTGAGATTGGAAAAGACCGTTGTCATTGTTAAACGTGTTCCTGGTAACAGAAGCAGTTCATTTTTCCACTGTTACATATGGGCACTGAGGCATGCGTGCACATTCTCGATAATTCACACCACATTAAAGTAGTAGTACAGCTTACAGGTAGCTCTGTAATTCCACTCGTGATCTGACGAAGCTTTGGTGTTATCCGTCAGAACTTTTTTTCATCTCCTTCCCAGGCGACCGCTTAAACTCGGTCACTTTTGGAATGTGTCATTGCTACCATTGAATTTATCCGCGCTTTCCTCCTTTTAGCCCGTTGCAAATCCATTCGAAAAGCGAACGACTGTGGATGCGACTGATGATACAAAGTGGTCGCGTGATCATATCTTCATTGTGCTCACCGTCGCTGTCTGTTCCGCCTCTCTTCTAAGCACGTTCCTCTTCTGTCTTATCCGTTTGGTCCGCACCGCCTCGCACTCGGAAGCCGAATCGCGGCGTCGGGCCCGTTTACGTTCTCTCGTATCACGAGGTGGCCGCAAGCTAAGACATTTGGTCGATAAATCGCAGCAAAAATGGATTTCGGGCACGTCGGCTGTTTGGAAAGTGGGACCTCGAGTTGTTTTGGTGTCTACAGATCAAGCTACCAATCTTCACTCGCCTGGGGAGCACGTCAACGTTAAATGTGAGTGGTGAAATCTTATGAACGGCTTGCATTATGGTACGCGTTCTCAATGTGGGATAGTCAGGTGCCATGTAGCCCTTGTCAGGTTGTTTCCGGCTACAGCACTATCTGTTAGAGCTCGAAAAAGCACTCTTCTGAATTCAATGTACCAACATTAACCTTAGTGTTATATCGTAAGCAAGGCAATTTAGTTGCAGTTTGGAGGCCCCGCTGAACCGAATGATCACAGTTACCTACTGAGATAATAACGGTTGTGCCATATCTTGGCGAGACTTTCCCCGAACACGGATCATGAAGTGATCACTGCTCATGGGCGGATCGATTAAGACACTCGGATCCTCGCTCCTCGTTCGTACTGACCCGGTAACAGAACCCCTCCCCACCCAGTCGCCTATCGGAGTTTGTGCAATTATGCTGCCAATCTCATACTTCTGTCTGACTTTTTCATGATTCCGCGTCTCTCTGGTAGCTTCTTTTTTCTGTCACAGCAACTTTCATGCACATGAGCATGTCGTATGAATACGCTCATCGCTTCAGACTCAATTTGATAGTCCCGTTTACCGAATCGAAAGAACAAGTGATCGGGACACCCAGGTATCATGCACATTTCCTTGAATAGGGACAACGATACACGTAATGCAGACAACAAGACAACGCTTTTGGGACTCGAACCCGTGACATCGCGTACTGGAGTAGTTGTCTGTCGTGAACTGTGGTTCATGTAAATTCACCAGGTCTGCGCATAGTGGGGTAACTTCTAATTTCTTTCTATAGCAGTAGTGAGCTCCACATGTAAACTGTACAATTGGTTTCACAATTTTTCCATCTTGTGCAGTTGGGTTGTGATTCAAGGAGAAAACTGTTGTGTATAACTCTTATATATATGAAGCATATTGCGGTTGTTCAGACGTGTGCCGATAAATTTCCGAAACACATCCTGGCGGACGAAGGGAGTTCCCCCTGAATGATTTAGATTTCGTTCAGTCACACCTGTTCTGGTGTAATTATTCCGGTGAATCTACACCAAAGGAAGCACTGGGACTCGAGTTTCGCTCTTAGTGGAGCTCACCGGCAGTGCATATCCAATGGCCGTGCCGGGATTCGAACCCCGAACATGTGACATGCGAGGCGAGCGTGTAACCACTACTCCACCAACGCACGTTGGATGCATCTGAATTTCCAAGTCTGAATAGGTGAACGTGTTCACATTTGAGCTATGTGATTGGTGTGCCCGATCTAGATTTTGCCAGTCGTGCCTTTTCCACATTCACTAATGGCCTCGATGTACGCAGTGCAAACTCGATGAAGCTCCACACTGCTACTTACAATCACTCGGAAATACAACCCCCTGTGGCCAGCAGGCTTACACCTTCGCGTAAAATCGATCTTTCTGCGCACGCGAATTGTTGGTTTACCCCTGAATTCACATTTGCATTCAGAACATGGGTGTTCGATAAGTAGACTGACTATCAAGGCACGACTGTGCTTGCGTTATCGTTCCGAATCCTCTGAATGAGTATTTGAGAAGCGTTTGTCAAGCTACCGCAGAGCCGCTTCTCTTTAATTTTTCTTCACATCTCCCCCACAGGTACCTAGTTGAATTAATTGCTATGACCGTACTCGTTGATGATGGTCTGCGCTTGTCCCACAATCCACAAGGTTTAAGGGGCTTTGTGATATTAAAAATCCAGTCGCTTAGTTATCCGTGCATCTTCAACGCTGCTATTGTCCTGGGCCCCAGATATCTCAGTGCTTACGGCACAAGCTACTGATTTGAAAGCCGCCCAGCTGTGGCAGTGGTACCCTTCACTCTTCAACTAACAGAAAGCGAACTCCACCGCACCACCAGCGTATGAACGATGTTTTTTTCATTCTAGTCTTCTGAAGAGCTATCCTTGTGGATGGCGTTTGGTTAATCATTGTCTTAATCTCGCCCAGCTGCTACACCCCTCGGTGCATAGCTCCCAAGGCAACGGAAGAAGGCACGAGGGCTGAGATGCTGTCAGACTGCCCAAGCCTAAACAAGGGAAGTCGAGAGGTAGAGCTCGGGTTCGAACCACGGACCGTCCGGTGGGTAAATTCGCGTCCTAACCACTGAGCCATCATCGGTGAACTGGTACTGAGTGGACCGTAGCACAATCCGATTCGACGTGGCTTGTCCTCAGCTACTAATTAGCCATTTTTTATCAACCAACCATTATACTTGTTCTCATGCGTTTCTATGCAAGCCCTATTGGTGTAACGGTGATACTACTGATGAAGGAGGCACGCGAGTAGTATGTTGTAAATTCGCCTTGCGCCTCTTGAAAAGGGGGATCTGTTGAGGAATTTGTGGAGTCGCTTTGGAGCATTTGTCTGGATTTGAGCAACAATCAATGAATATCCAGGAAAGTTCAGGAAGATGCGTTCAAGAGATGGTGGATGTTCAGTTTTTGTAAATAAGATGCAAATGAGAGTTTTGCTTCCCTGTCCACTAGTCTGTTGGTATTTTCTAATAAATAACTCCGCATCGAAGGCCTTCCTCCTTTCATTGGTAGTAGTTTGTTCGTTTGGTCTGCCGGTGATTTTAACCACAGCCCGGTACAATAAAACTTTTGCCTTTTTGTTATCCACAAGTCGATATTCGCTGTATCGGTTAACATTTTTCACCCGCCCAAGCAACCAACGTCCACTATCGTCGTGTTTTTTGCTTTTTTTTTGTTAGAAGCGAAGTTGAGACTAGACTAGAACGAGTATACTACTCAATTCAATTCATCAGCTATAAGTCGTGAGCGTTAGGCACATTGGTTCTAGCTACTCAGTTCCGACCACTGGAAAAGGGGACAGTATGGGACATACAGCCAAGTCATGGTTAGTTCGGGAACTTGGCAGCTACGTATTGAAGGTGATAGCTTTGATGCACGAACGGCATTGACTGTTTTAATGCACATACCAGCACCCGTATGCTCCCCGATCCGTTTGCTTGTTACTTTGCCGGAGGCATGCTTGCACTGGTGTTGGTACTTTGAAAGCCTGTTGGTAAAAAATGTGCATAGGAGTCTAATGTGGTATCTACGTTTTCAGACAATCAATCCAACAGTCTGACCAAAACTGTCATTCCTGTGGAGCACAATGTAGCACGTAAATGCTACAATTTAGTCATTCAGTGGCGGTCAGCTGTGTATCGTGAGAATTACACTACACACAATACTTCGTTCGCTCGGTGCCTTCTACTCCCATGCTCAGTCAGTAATCGATTTAAGCAGTATACACATTTTTTGTTTGTTTGCCGTAGAGTATTGGTCCTAATTCAGATCCAAAAAAATCGCATCGATTCACAAAGGTACCTGAATTTACACAGCCCGTGTGTACATAGAGGTGGATCTCCGCAACAGTTAGTATGACTTTCATAACCCTGGATTGACAGTTTTCGTGCTCGTTCAAGCCATGGTTCATTCGTCGTTCAAGCTCGAATACGGTCAGACATATGTTCAGATGTAGTAAGTAAAGTGCGTCCAGCAGGAACATCCACCTACTCAGGCATTGCAACTCCAGGTAGAGTCTAGGATGTCCATTGCATATTTAAGTGCTTTCCTCCTTTGGGGTGAGCTAAACATGACAGGCAGAAAGTCTGCTCAAAAGAGAGTGCATACAGACGCTGACATCAGCTAGATGCAATGTGTACTTTTATCAATGGAGGTTTGCCTAGTACCTCTCTCAGCAGAATTTTTCGGCATCATGATTGGTTACTGTCTTTTGGCATAAATGACCTCAGTATGTCAATTCGAACTACCTCTCACACTGAAGCCCAGGAATCCGAAGTTACATCCACTTGGATTTTTGTCTATGTGTATTAGGTGCGCGCAAAAATGAATGACTGGTTAAAAATTAGGAAGGTTCATGGTGCTGTTAGAATTTGGATTCCTTAGACCACTTCTATTAACCCGGAATTACACTGTTAAACTGCTACACTGGATAGCACATTACGGTAGGAAGTACTTGATTATAATACGAAATAATTCATGTCGATCCCTCTTTCTGCTGTTATTCCGTTGCTTGTTTCGGAGTTCGAACGTCAAAAGTTGTCGGATTGGCTGAGCATCGTGGTTTGAAGGACTATTTTGATGTGCGTGGTGGCCAAGTCCACCGAAGATATTGGAGATGGCAGCAATGGGCGGCAAACGGATGTCAGTCCTCAAGAATGAGCATACGGAGATGGCTCTAGAAACGGTATGCGCAGGGGGAGAAGAGAAAGAAGAGACTTCAACTGTAGCCTGCTTTCTCTTACCCGCACTGCTGAATTCAGCAAGGTCACTCGGCCGGTGTGTCGTGATTATTTGCAATTGTGCAATCAATCCCTATGTTAGCCAGGTCTGCAATTCAACCCTAGATCCCCTTCCATGCCCTATCCTCCTCTTTCCGTTAAGCAGATTTATTCAAATAAATTGATATGGTTTTACGACAGTGAAGCATCAGTGCCAGCATTAATGTTGTTGTCTTTGATGATGATGAAGTCGTGTTTTAACACACGCTTCACTCCCCACAAACTATAAAGCAGTGCTAAAATGTAAGCTCCACCATAGTCTGATGGTCTTCTTTGTCCTCTTGATTCGGTCGAACGGTTCTCAAGCATTTCTGACTGCCTATTTCTGCCAATTCCCATTTTCCTCAGGTCAACTACCCCCGAAGGAGATGAAGATCCACGGATATATGAACCCTACGTGCCCAATACAACGCGGTTAGCAACCTTTCTGGAATAAGCCACGCGGGAGTGGCTACCAACTGCATTTCACGTGGACGTCCACAACCTAGCCTTTTTCGTTGTTCCTCCTAACTTATGTTTACCATACCACCAATTTTTTGTGCATGTTCCGCGATAATTTTATGTTTTGCTTCTAGTCTCAACACGTCTTTTGATCTTCTGCTTTGGTTCGATTTATTTCATTGATTTATCTATCATGTGCACGTCATCTAGCCATCATTTTTTGTCTATCATACGTAAACTTCACAGTATATCTCTCCACTTTGACTGTGGTTTTCTCTGAGGACGCTGGGGCGCGTGCTATGGAGCTCGGGCGCATGACCAGGGGATTCCGTTCGGCAGCTGTCTGGGAGAAACACAACAGCTGACAAGGGTGTTTCGGAGAAAAACGCCATAGCCAAAATTCGCAAGCGCTAAAGAATATGTCTAACTATTGCTAGCTCGAGTGAGTTTATAGGCTGTGACACTACCTGTTCGCCGAGCCTAGCAACTGTCATGCAAACGCCTAGCCACCACCCAGGGAACATCCTCAGTGCGCGCACGTGACGACCCACAGCCAACAAAGGCTGAACGCCTACATTGGGGTGTATGGGAACAATGCTCAGCCATCTGGTTGAAGTAAGTGTGGCTTGGCCAAAAGGATCGTAATCTCGGTCGCAGGGCTGGAAATAAATAAACTCGGCCTCCTATCAGAGCTGGGGTCATTTCTGACCCGCGCTCGTTCACAGATACAGCTGGGGTTAATTCCCTGACTTGCGCTGAACTTTTGGTCACCGCTATCGAATTTTGAAGGTTGAGGACGTTTCTTTCAACAAGTTCCTCCTAAATGCAATGATTATACCGCGCGGCACGGAAGGGATTCTGGACCAGCGTACCGCATTGGCTTGACCTTGGTTGCAAATGATTAGGTCGATGACTGAACTTGACGAGTTTGCCGCGGACATGCCGTCACTAATGGACGACCTTAGTCAAACGCCAAAGTTTATATACGTCCTGCCAACCGACGCTGGACCTGCAATATGATTGGTGGTTTGAGTGGGAAACGCCATTGGTTGATTGACCTGGTGTTTCATGCAAGCATCGCAGACCCGGAGTGTTTCAGGGGTAAGCCACAGTCGGTGAACGGAAATTGCTACGGTCTGGCAAACAGCTCACTACTGTGCGTTATCAACCGAAGAAGAGACTAACATTCAACAGTACATCACTTCGCCGCTAAGTCCTTGCACTAGTTGCCATACATATTTTCCCATTTAGAGAATCATGGTGTGGTCCGCTCCACAGCGACACCTCTTTACCGAATAAGACCAGTCGAGAGCAAGAGTTTCCGGGTCGCATTTGCGTGAACCCGGAGATGGCAACATTTTCGTAGTCTTGTGTGAGGTATCCGCAGCGATGGACCGCAAAGTCAGCACCCACCCTGAATTCCGAAAACTTATCACAGAGACGAGCGGTCAGGTACCACTGAGCAGTTTGATGCGACTGCCGGCTTAGAGATCTCCAAGAAATCCTTTCATTTCAGCCGATCATCATTAATTTAGACGCAGTCCGCACGGGTAAATTACAAATTTGTGCCAGTAGTTTGATCCAATTCTCATAACAGAAGCAGTACGATTCTCATCAAATGCCAGAAGCAATTTTAAACGAGAACTATCCACGAGGTTGGAGTCAACTGTGTCGGCGCCTGGATCAAAGCACCCGCTGTCACAAGCTATCAGATCTCGCATCGTCAGGCGGCATTCACAAAACCAATCGGTGCAATAAATATGTCGTCTGCTTTCGGTTTGTTAACAGCAGACGGTGCTCATATCACAACTGATCCAACAGACAATAGCATGAACAGACGGTGCACTGAGCGCAGAGAGAGAGAGAGAGAAACTATGTGGATGCTGAATAGTTTGGAATGCGGGGCGAAATGCATTAAATATACTGTGAAGAAAAATAAGAAATCTGACCATCATCGCGTCTCATGAATGGCAAACTATTGGAAAACCATGTGAGGAAAAGGTTCTGTCAGATATAGATCGGGTGGATAAACTGGAAATAATATAGTTTTTTGGGACTAATGATAGATCACAGCCAATAGGAAACCTATTTGTCGTAATTAGTAAGTTTCGGAACCGGTGAATATCCTTTCGAGATCAAGGTAGGCAAACAGACCTTCGATGAGAGTGAGTGTACGACCCAGTGCATCGGAATAGTGTCGGGCGTCTTTTTCAAGTTGTACGTACAGTTCCGGTTGGGTGGTAAAATCAACAGGAATCGTCGAATTCCCTGAGGCTAGCGCCTGGCTTGGTGAATCCGAATTCAGATCGTCTTGGAGCAGTAGACGTAGAAACTGGCTTCGGGTTGGTAGAGATTTTATAACTATCTGTTAGAAAGAAGAAAAAAGACAAGAAGCCGTCATCAGTAAGTGTGGAGAAGTCCATTGAATGACTTGTGAAGGAGTAAAATCCGCACCTAGTCATTTTTCCCCAAGCAATGAAATCAATGAGGTTACAGATAAATTTGTTAAATACGGTAAAGTAGAAAAATCGTTCAGCTGTATTTCAGTGCCACGCTACTCGAAGAAAGCACGAGGGGCCGAGAGAGTGCCACGATAGTACCAAAGCCTAGGTAGGAGCAACCGAGATGCCGGGGTCCGCTTCCAACCACGGACCTTCCGGTTAACAACTTGGTACAGACAGAGAGTAGGTGGCTGATATGAAAACTTGTGTTCGAAAGGATGACTGTCTTTCATCGTGATACTTCGAATGAGGATACCAAAACCAATTGATCAAGGGTCATGACAACTTCATTTTGTCGCATGCTGCTAACATGCAATTTACTTATTTTGATGTTGCCATCCTTAAGCGCTATACCCCCACCAAGCGCTATATCGTAGTGCTTGAAAACTGTGCCGAAAATACTCACCCAGTTGAAGGACGTCAAGTAACGTGCAACAGTGACTGCGGGCATGGCTTTTGATGAGAAAAACCTCATTGAGGGTCGGTTGCTTCTGAGTTTTAACTGACCGTCATAACCATCGTGTTTCGATCTCCGATGATACTAGCTAATATACTCTCAAGTCGAGTAAAGTGACAGTCCCACTGGTGATCTGTGTACGATGATTGGCATAAAGCCATTTCAAGAAA